GAGCCTAATTGGCTCCGAGCTCTGAGCTGGGGTGGTATCGGGAGCGTCTCCAGCGCGTCTGGGCTCACGGCCGCGTTTAGCGTCCTGTGCTGAAGAGCTGCTGCTGCTGCTCACTGTCCAGACACGGGCCAGCAGCTTGTTTGTTTAAACTTGTTTCCATAGGAATTTGTAAGGACCATGGGAACATATTTTATTTGACCTAAACAATAAAGAATGAGAGTGAGGAGAGGAGGAGGAGCCCTGTCACGTCTGATCTATGGGCCTGATTTTTCTCTTAGGCTGGGTAACCTCTTCAGCACTGAATGGAGCGTCTTGGCAAGTTGGCTTGTTGGTTTTTTTCTCCTTTGTTTTTTCAAATGCTTGCATGGAAATAGGTCAGAAATAGCTTCTTTTTAAGCACACAGGGCACCTTTTGGGTCAGGTTTGCAGTAATTCAGAAACTCTGCTTTAGTCATAGAATCACAGAGTGGTTAGAGTTGGAAGGGACCTTAAAGATCACCGAGTTCCAACCCCCCTGCCCTGGGCAGGGACACCTCCCACCAGACCAGGTTGCTCAAAGCCCCATCCAGCGTGGTCTTGAACATCTAGATCGGAAGGGACCTTTCAGATCATCGAGACCAACCATCAACCCAGCTCTGACCAAACCCCCACTACAGAATCTTCTAGGTTGGAAGATCATCTTGTCCAACCGTCAACCTAACTGACCTTGTGTCCCTCAGTACCACATCTGCCCGGCTTTTAAATCTCTCCAGGGATGGTGACTCCACCACTGCCCTGGGCAGCCTCTTCCAAGGCTTGACAACCCTGTGAAGAAATTTTCCCCAATATCCATCCTAAATCTCCCCTGGGACAACTTGGAGCTGTTTCCTCTTGTCCCATTGCCTGTTCCTTGGGAGAAGAGACCGACCCCCCCCTGGCTACACCCTCATTTCAGGGAGTTGGAGAGAGTGAGAAGGTCTCCCCTCAGCCTCCTTTTCTCCAGGCTGAACACCCCCAGCCGCTCCTCACAAGACTTGCACTCCAGACCCCTCACCAGCTCCACTGCCCTTCTCTGGACCCGCTCCAGCACCTCAAGGTCTTTCTGGTCATGAGGGGCCCAAACCTGGACACAGTATTCCAGGTGGGGCCTCCCCAGTGCCAAGCAAACAAGAGCTTTACGTACAAAGAAGACCAAGGGGCAATGAGCAATAAACCACCAAAGGTCACTGACTGGGATTTTGCAAAATGCTGTGCCTTGTAGGAGCTGGAAGGCAACTTTTAGAGCAATCTCTTCCTGTCAGTTCAGGCTCTCCAGCACTTAAAAGACCATGAGCTGGAGCTGAAGGAGCCAGGTTGTCCAAATTTACGCACAGGCTGTGCCTCCAATGGCAGCGAATGGTCTCGCTGTCTCTGCCTTTGACTCTGCCACCAAAGCACAACCTCTTGCTGCTGTGGAAGGGGAGTGATGCTCTCCAGCCTGATAAATGGCACACACAGGGCTGTGCAGAGCGATGCGGGCTCCTGGGGTGCTGTTAGTCCTCTGCTGGGAAGGTTGGGATTGCAGAGGGAGCTGCAGCAGAGATGGGGGATGAAGCCGAGCTCTTGCAGTGTGTTCCTTGTTGGACTTCCCAAGCTGTAAGAGCTGGAAAAGGGGCGAGTCAGAACTGGATGTCACAGCACAAGGAGATGCTGGAAAAGCAACCCTGCAAAGAGGGTGTGTGGGCAACAGGGAAAGCAGCTGCTCGAAGTGGAACTGGCCAGGATGCTCCACTGAGATGAATTTCCATCCCCATCCTGTGGTTTTTAATGTTTCCAGGGAAGGGCTGTCGGGTGTCACTGCAGCTGAGGCCTGTAAATCCCCCTCATTATTGTTCTGAATGCCAAGGGGGGCTGCTCTGGATTTGCAGGGTGATGCTGTGGGGCTGGCGAAACCTCTGGGAGCTCAGGACCCACAGGCTCTGCTGGTTGGGCTGACACTGGCTGTGCTGCCCTGAGGGCTTCGTGCTCTCTCCCACTGGTCCCTGGAGAAAGCAGGGGTCCTTCCTCCACCTTGTGTCTCTTCACACCACTTTGGTTGCCTGCTTGCTTAGGGGGAAAAAGTTAGAAAACAGGTTTTACAGCTTTCTGGTGTAAGGAGTCCCTCGGTGGTGTAAGGAACAGTTGGTTTTCTCAAAGCAAGCAGCAGGGTCTGTGCACACCAGCCTGCCCTGCGAGATGGGGCTCCTGTGTAAGGGTGGCTTCACCACGACTCCACGTGTCTGTCCAATAGCACCACTGTATCCGGGAGCCAGTTTTACGGGTGAAACACCCCCCTCCTTGTTCTGCCAATATCCAGCAAAAACGTTGCTTCGTACCATTTTGTTTCCAAACTTGTTTGTGTTGCATTTTGTTTGTTGTGCAGGTGTCTATTTTTGTCAAAGTTAGGTTGTCGGTTGGACAAGATGATCTTTAAGGTCCCTTCCAACCTAGAAGATTCTGTGATTCTGTGTCCAAAAGGCATCTAGGGCGAGAATTCCCCATAGGAATTCCCCTATGGACTGCTGCTGCCCATGGAGCATCTTACAGTGCCCTCAGAACTGGCTTTTCTCTGGTCCAGGGCGAGTGTGGGTGGTTTTTGTCCAAGCAGTTATTGTGTGGGGCTACGGGGGTGCTCAGCAGTGGTGAAAAAGGGGTTGCCAGAGAGAAAGAGAATATGGTGTTGAATAAACACCATTCCCAGGTGTCGGCGATGCACAGAACTCCTGCAAGGGTGAGCTTTAGAGCAGAAGAGGTAAATAGAGGTTAATTAAAGAAACTTGGGTGAATGTGGATAGTCGGGAGGTTGAGGCTGGGCACTGGGGCTGGGCTGAGCCTGCGCCGTGGAAGCACACGAGGGGTTGCTCTGGGGGGGCCTGGGAGTGCTCTGGAGCAGATGATCCAGTCTAATTTATTCAAACCAAATGCTTATGCCTTTCTGTAAATCTCGCGTAGCTTCTGGGAGCTTATTTATTTCCAAATGTCACGTTGTATGAGACCAACTCTCTGCGGGATTGAAGAGTTTCTGTGCAAAGAGCCAGCAGATCCTCTGCCTCCTCCGGATGTAAGGGAATGGTTCTTGCAAGCGGAGCTCAGGACCGACTTGCTAAGGACCCTGGATGCATCCCTTTGTGTTTGTCTTCTCACTGCTTATTGTTATTATTTATTAGCTTAAAATAAATATAATGCGTGTGGTCAGATGGCCCGGATGGAGAAATGAGCCAATGGGAACCTGGGCAGTGCTCCCTGTTGGGATGCAGCTCCCTGGCTCCGCAGGGTACGGAGCTTGGAACGGATTAGAGAAAGGGCGGGGGGGGTCCCCGGCCCCTCCTGGGAGTGACAGGCAATGCAGACAGCCCCGGGACTGTCACTGAGGAGCATCTCAGCTCCCTGCCCTGCGGCGGTGTCCCTGAGTCGTGAGGAATCGTCTGCTAAATCAGCGCCTGGGGCTGCCACGGCCCCGGGGTTGCTGCAGGGGGAATCCCGAATGCAGCCAACCTTCCTACCCGTTCCCTGCTCCCTCAGTGTCCCGAGGAGCTGTGACCTTCAGCTGTGACGATGACAGCACAGAGCTTCGAGCTCTTTGGGCTGGTTTTGTTTACAGCTGTAGAGAAACCAGAACCGCTCTTCTCCGTGCAGACCTGAGCAAGGAGAAGTGCAGGTCCTGCTCCCAACATCCGTGTAGGCACTGACTTTTTATGTGATACCAAGGACATATATGCATTGTTTTAAGGCAATAAGCCTTAAAAAGTAGCCCTGTGACCTTTGAACACTGGTTCTTGTGTGGGGCAGTGTTGTGGCTTAATCCCACGCAGCCACTCGCTCGCTGCCCCACCAGCTGCACCAGGGTCAGATGAGTAAAAGTTGGGAAAAACTTGTGGGTTGAGATTAAAGGCAGTTCAACAGGCAGAGCAAAAGCCACGTGCACAAGCAAAGCAAGGAGTTAATTCACTGCTTCCCATGGGTGGTGGGGGGGTTCAGCATCCCCGAACAAGCCAGGCTCCATCAGCATGACGGTGACTGGGGAAGACAAACGCCATCGCTCCAAACTTCCCCCCCTTCCTTCTTCTCCCCCAGCTTTACACACTGAGCATGACGTGCCATGGAATATCTCTTTGGCCAGTCAGGGTCAGCTCTCCTGGCTGTGTCCCCTCCCAACTCCTCGTTTCCCCCAGGTGAGGAGCAGAGGTGGCCTGGAGAGCTCAGGGACAACTCAACCCCCCCCGTGCCCTGTCACACTCTGCCCATCCCAAACCCAGAGCCCAGCACTGCAAAAACGTTAACTCCATCCCAGCTGAAACCACCCCAGAGAGGGATCCGTGAGAAGAGCCACACCAAACTGCTCACTTTCTCTAGAAAGAGATGAGTTTGATATTCTTGCCCTGGAGAGGTGACGGTCCCTGAGGAAATTAATACACGAATGGCTCCGACTGGATGGGGGAGGGAGGGGAATTTCAGATGGTCTTTTGTCATCGTGGGTTCCAAAGTTAGCCAGGCATTTTTTAGCCGTGAGCAATGGCTGAGCCCCCAGCTGTCGTCCTACGAGAATATGTGTGCGCTTAATCCTCCTGTCCCAGGGTCTGTGGTGGGGTCCTCCCTCCACCGCTGGGTTTGCGGAGCAGCTGGGCTGTCTGTCACCCAAATGGGTTTCTTTTTTGAACAAGAAACTGTGAGTTTCAAAGGTTGTGGAATGCGTGTAATATTCACTCAGCCCAGGTCACGTATGGGCTGTGCAGACTGTGGTTTTGTCTCACCTGGTGCTAGAAAAGGGGTAATTAAATGAGAATTAAGGTAGAGGAAGATAATGCTGACTGTTCTGCCTTAGTGGTGCTTCATGGGCTTTCTTCTTAGTGGCAAAATCATGGTTAGGAAAGGGCAGTTGAAATATATTCTCTCTCAGACATGAAAAAAAGCCTGTGTTTTCTGCTTTATCCGCACTGCCCTGAGCCCTCACAGGGGTCACTATTCTTACATGGATTTAACTAAAGACCAGTAATTCCGTTTGGTTAATGTAGGGCACTTGATTTTATTCAAAGGGTGAGATACAAAAAAAGTAAGCAAAAAGACAAAACCCAAATTGTCAAACACTACAGACAAAAGTAAGACAGCTTCTGTGTACAGCACACAACAGGAAACAAGGTACAGACTGGTCCCCACAAACCAAGCCAGCTGGGTATGTACAGGCAGAGGCAAATGGGTCTGGAAGGGAAGAAAGGGTGGTATTTGCCACTTCAAATGTCTATTTACATAAACTGAATTGAAGGCAAATAGTTTTCTTTCCTTTTGTTCAAACCAAATGCTTCTTTGTTTCGTCTTCTTCCCGTTTCTGGTGGAGAGGAGGGACTCCGTGCTTTGAGGCAAGTTTGGTACATTCAGGTAGGATCTAAAATTAGCCACAGCTAAACACTGATGTGCTGCTTCAAGTGCTGCATCTCAGTCCCTCCCTCCACTTGCCACGCTGCTGCCAGGCACCTACTCAAGGCCTCAAGGTCTGCTCCTGGCAGCCAGAGAGGAGAAAAGCCCAATTTTGCACTAACGTGTTGGTCTTTCTTACACCTTTGGATGTCCCAGTCCACAGCTGAACCAAACCCGGTGTGTCTTGGCCAGATGTGAGACCCCCGAGCAGGGCTCCTTGTGGTGTCACATCCAGGAGCTTCCTCCCACCCAACTCAGGAATGGTCTGCGTGAACCTTCCAGCTCTTCCAGCACCAAGGGGCTGGGGCTCCACAAACATGGGGGGGGTCAAAGCTGCTTTCTGGCAGGAGGGGCATCCCCGTGGTGGTGGTGGTGGTGGCAGGTCATTACCATCCCATCAGTAAGACCATGTTAAAGAGTAGCTGGCGTTTGCCGTGTCCCTGCTGCTCCTGACAAGGACACAGCTGCCCAGATGCTGGCTTGGGCTTTTTATGAGAACACGTGTGCTGACAGCACTCACTCCTCTGACAAACTCAGGGAAGAACTGTCTACAGCCTTTCTTTAGTAGGAGGGAAAACCTGACAAAAGTATATTCCATAAGACTTAATTCCCTCAAACACCCTCACTATCTGCGTGGACTTTGAGATCTGTCAGGCAGAAACAACATGAGCCTGAAGTTCTCTGGTCTTTGGCAATTAAAAAACCCCTAAGACCTATGGGCATGTGCTTCCCTTTAAGCCTCTGCAGACACAGATGAGGAAAACAGTGAAATCCAAATAAATTCTGACAGAAGTACACAGGCAGCTGCTCTTCCAAATGGCAAAGGCCTCGATCTGTATTTACCTGTGGCTCAATTTTAGTGCCAGGGCTACTGAATTTTTAAACACCTCAATTAGGAAGGAGGGGATTTTACTGGCTCAGTAAGCAAAACATTCATTTTGGAGAGCAGAAGACTGACTGGCTGTTAATAAATATCACAAGGCATTCTAAAAGTTTTCCTAAGGAAAAGAGAAACATCTCTTCGTCAAAATGCAACACATCTAGACAAAAATGAGGTAAGGAAAGCTAAGAAGAGTCCTTTATACATTCGCACTTCACACAGGCATGGCAATTAACGACAGTGAGATGCTTAATGGATTCCCTACCAGGCTCATCAGAGGAATCTTCACACCAGGCCGCTCCTCAGCACCCTCTGACATTGAGCATTGCACCAGCCGGGCTGCACGCAGCCACTACGCCTCCGTTTTGGCAGGCATTTACACACTTCAGGCAGTTTGCTGGCATCGTGCAGCACGCGGGGGGGACACACTACCTTTCCTTCTGACAAATGGAGAATCTGTCGTGAGCTTTAACGCCTTAAATTACAAAGAATAAGGGTTTGTCTATCACAGCATCAACGCAAATAGCTCGGCACTATCTGTACAGTCACACCCGACGTGAGAGCGTCAGACTTAACATCTCTAACTTAGACTCCTGTTCTTTGGTCCTCTTTGTACACAACTTAATTTCATAAATAATTAACAGCCTGCATTATGAACTTGTAGTGAACGGCCACTCGCGTTTTAACGGGGACGTCTCCCATCCTGTTTGCTGGGAGACTCGGGAAGCCGGCGGACAATCATCTGTACAAGGCCAGATAAAAGGCTGCTTTTCTTCGAGTGGAATAGGAGAAAAAGGTCTTAAATTAATTCTCTTGCAGGGTTCTTACACTGGATCCCACACTAATGAAAACGTGGGAGGTGATACTGCAAGTCCTTGCATCCTTGTGCTGGAGGAGATAAAAGAGGGGTCCCTGCCTTGGTTCCAGCAGGAACCTCCATGTGAAAGGTTTGCAGAGTTTCTCTTAAGCGAGCTGAGGGGGAGGAGGAGGAGGAAGAACTGTCTTCAGTTTGTTAGCACTGAACACCCGTTGGTGTTTTCTAAGGGACAAGTATTGTTTTCAAACGAAGCAGGGAAAGCTGCTGGTCATGGTCAGGCAGAGGCAGGAAACTGCCAGGAGTCAGCGCCTCGTAAGCAAATGCTGTGTCAAATGCAGTATTTTCTACTTTGTTCTTAAACAGACACTGGCAGCACAAGGCATCCATAAAGTAATAGTCTGAGTATAATGTATTAATAAACATATATATATTGGTTTCGAGTGTTTTTCTTTTTATGGTGTGTGTCTAAAGCTAATTCAAAACCCATGAAGCTGGTAGGAAATTCACCTTTTTGCATTAGGAAACGCACAGCTAACTGCCCTCTCATGACTTTGAAAAAGTCAGCGTTAAGTCTTGAAGCTGTATTTTCCATGTAATTTCGGATTCTCTGCAAGCTAGTTACAGAACTATTACCAAGGTATATATTTCTGTCATGTCTATCATGCTTTTGTCATCCCCTCTGATTTTGAACCAGCTGAGTTTGACACAAATCACATAGGAACTGCTCCCAAATAAATCAGAAGCCAACACTTCTGTGAAGGGCCTTTTGCTGCCGTGGGGACCCTCTGAAAAGGAGCGTTAGTGCCATCTCTGCCGGGGAGATCCGAGGCACAGACCTTCCTCTGCGTGTTCAGAGGAGCCAGGGCCCTGCAGCACCTGGTGCTGGTTCCTCAGGAGGTGTGTTGGTGCCACAGCACTCAGGAGGGGGAAAATCCTCAGCGCGGGAGGATATTTTTAAATTTTGGTTAAAAACTAACCTCTACTTGGTTAAAAAAAAAACCAAACCTCAACAGCAACAACAAACCCTCAGCACAAACTCTTCACGTGCCTCTTTCCCCCAACTCTGGGAGCACCATCCCGAGCGGGGACTCGGCTTCTGCGGCCGCTCACACGCCAAGGTGCCAGTGAATCCACAGCCCTGGTGGGCACAGACACCAGTACACACTGGTGTTACACCCTGCCTGGTGGCCCCCAGCACACGATTGTCACTTGCGAGGTATTTGGCATCGATAAAATCCTTCTGAAGCAACGGTATTTTCTTAGCACATTCCCCATGTGCCTATCGTCGAGGATGCTGTGACAGGTTGGTTGAATTCCCTTTTGTACACGAGGCAGAATCTGACCCCAAATGCTTGTTTGCAGTTTCCTTCACTGTTAAAACATCTGCACAGGCATGACCAGTAGCAGCTCTTGTTCCAGTTGTATGTTCTGGTGCCCTGCTTCACTGCCTGAGAGCATGGCAGGTAATTCATCCTACGGTTTCTCATCAACAATTGGAATGAGCCACACTGGATAAGAAACAATGACATTTCTTAAAGTAAAGTGGAGGGCCCCTTACCTAGAAGAGTCGGTAATCCTTAAAGAAAACCATTTAGTATCTTTCATGGAAGCCTAGTGTTCAAAAAAACCCAAAGCTATTGACACAGCATGTGGAATCAATTTGACAATCACTAATGTAATGGAATTATGGTGATCTTATACACAAACAATGATTTACCAAAATAAGATTTACCTAGGGGACTTTAAAATCAAGTTATTTTGGTACCAAAAAAAGTCTTTCATTTAATTCCCCTTTGCCCCTATGATTCAGATGATCTTTCACTCTACAGTTACGGCCTTGGCCAGATTTCTTGGAAAATCAACCTGCAGAGAGGGAGGAGAAAGAACACGCTTGTGAGTATTTACACACTTCCTTTGTTTGTGTATAACTCTGTAATGTCTGGAACATTTGTTCTGCGTTTAAATTGAAAATGAACATATTTTCCTGTTAATTTAGGACAATCAGTGCAGAAAAGGTCCATAAACCTCCATTGTTATGACTCCTCTGTCAAGAACTAAGGAGTTGGTCCCTTTAGTCTATGCTGTTTCAGTGCTCAAATGACAAAAGGTCACTGTGATAAAAAGCAGAGTGTCTGTATTAAGATCAAGTACCCAACACAAACAGACTCTGTTGGTCAAGCATCCTTCTGGGGATCCTTACCTTCCTTTTAGCTTCCTACCAGCCCTCCAGAAACCGTACCCTTGTACCAGAAACCAGACACGTGCCCGAACTCGAACCACACAAGGCTGCCTCCACCTTTTGTTCACAAGAAGCTTCTGTAACTGCCAGGTCTGCCCTTTAACCTGGGCCTTCCAGTAGCTCAAGTAATTCTACAGACAACCCCCACAGACTTCCAGCACCGCCCAGAGCATCTTTTCCACATCTGCAGCCAGCAAACATGAGCACAGAGAGGAAGGAATACTCTACTCACATCGTATCCTCTGAGAACTGCGAGATGGAAAGCCAGCAGCTGGAGGGGGATAACACTCAGGATCCCCTGCAGACAGTCCACTGAATGGGGGACTTTGATTGTTCTCTTATTGTTCTTAATTGTCTCGATGTCTTCCTTATCACAAATCACAACGGGTCGCCCCTGCAACGAAGAGAAACGTTGAAGAAAAAAGAGGTCTGGAAGATTCTCTTCTCACTACTGCTCACAGTGCCAGTGGCAAGAACTTTTCAATTAATTTAGAAGGAAACAACATCCCATGGGCATCCCCCTGTAGTATAAGGGGTATATAAGGGGTAATATATATATAAAAGGGGTAAACAAAGCACACCAGGCTTCTACAATCTGCTGCCAAAATTGCACTTGAATCACAGAATCACAGAATCTTATAGGTTGAAAGGGACCTTAATGATCATCTTGTCCAACCGTCAACCTAACTGACAAAAATAGACACCCACACAACAAACAAGAAGCATCACCATCACTAAACCAGACCTCCCAGCACTACATCAACCTGTCTTTTGAACACCTCCAGGGATGGTGCCTCAACCACCTCCCTGGGCAGCCCATTCCAATGGCTGAGAACCCTTTCAGTGAAAAAATTTTTCCTAATATCCAGCCTGAACCTCCCCTGGCGTAATTTGAGGCCATTTCCTCTTGTCCTGTCGCCTGTGATTTGGGAGAAGAGACCGACCCCCACTTCTCTACACCCTCCTTTCAGGGAGTTGTAGAGAGCAACAAGGTCTCCCCTCAGCCTCCTCTTCTCCAGGCTGAATAACCCCAGCTCCCTCAGCCTCTCCTCATAAGACTTGTAATGCCCAGAATATCTACTAAAGTCACATTTTAGGCAGCGATACTAAAACAAACAGTTTGGGTGCCCTGCAAACTGCTTTTATATCAAAAGCCACATTTCTGATGCGCTGTCAACTCTTCTAGGCACGTACTTGCCGTGCGATGACCTGCTGGAGAGCGTTCTGGCACTTGGCGTAGGTGTGGTCTCTCATGATGATCATGATGACGGGCATGAGTTTGTCCACCAGGGCGAGAGGGCCGTGCTTCAGCTCACCCGCCAGTATCCCTTCGGAGTGCATGTAGGTAATTTCTTTGATTTTCTAGATGGGGAAAAAAAAAGAATTCATAAAGCTTTGGGTAAACTTGTAAATATTTTTCAACCATCTCTGTGGCTTCTTCCACTTTCCTTCTAACTTTTTAAAAACGTTTTCTGGCTCTCCTCAGATCTGGTACATAGACAAGCCAGCCTGAAAATTGAGATGGAAGTGGTGCCTCTGGGCTGGGCTGCTTGCAGGCAGCACCACTTACAGCTCCAACACCAAACCCACCACGGGCCTTAGGACTTGCCATCAGCCAACACATCTACCACCAGTCTGGAGCTGGGCCGGCAAACACAAAGAGGACGCATTTGCATGTCAGTGTGTAACAGAACTTACAATAACATTAACCTCCTCAAAGGTACAAACCGCAACAGAGAAGTTTTGGATGCTGAGCAATCCTGGAAATGCCACCCCAACAGTTCAAAGAACTGATTTTGTTGGGGTGCCCCATCTGTCACTGTGAAGCATTCCCAGTGTGAATGCAGAAAACAGACAACACCCCATAGCTCGCAGTTCCTTAAAACAACTTGTAGCCACATGTCATTTCCTGGGCTGAAATCTGAAGTCCATAGCTAACAACACCTTGAACCAGCTTTAAATACAGAAATCTCTTACCAAAGCTCCCTCAAGACATGTAGCATAATGGTAGCCACGGCCCATGATGAGAACAGACTTCTGATGGTACAGCTCCGTGGCCAGCTTCTGGATCTCATCATCCATACTCAGCACTTCTTTAATTAGGTCTAGAAAGAAAGAGAAGAATTCCAGTTATATGCCCGTGCCTCTCACACCATACATACTGGTTATACTTCAAATACCAGTAGCAGAGACTTGCATAAAAACTGGACTTTCTTTTTTATTAGTCCCATTGAGTGGTCCGAAGGCATTACAAAGAACATGGTTGCAGAAGTTATTGCTAACAGCCACGTTGCACGTATCCTGTCCCCTCGGTCTTTCAAAGCAAGAAAGTTCACCCGTGCTACTGAACTGCTGAAGTTCACCCGTGCTACTGAGTTTCACCTGGTGAGACACAATACCTGTGGCAGGTTCCTACCTGGCAGCCCCTTCAGACCCCGCATGATTTCCTTGCGCCTTTCCTGCATGGAAATTCTGTCATCGCACATCATCAGAGCAAACATCACCAACGAGACAAACTGGCTGGTGTAGGCCTAACAAGGGAGAGAGACAAAACACATCATTAGGACAGTAACCAAACAGTTGTCCCCTACTACGTTAAATCCTTAGACCAGACCTTGACTTTATTCTTAACACAGCGCCAAACGGCAGCGTCCGTTCCAGTTAAGTAGCAAAGATGAACGTGAAATTCACAGGCAAAATCTTGAGCAAATCTCAAATGGAGGTGTGCAACAGCACGATCTCCTTGTACTTCAAGAGATTGAGATACAACAAGCAAAATGGAATATTTCTAAGATTCCCTGGTGACTATTAAATCCTATTTTGTGACCATGTACCTGTGTCCTCCTTCTCTGCAAGTAGCTGCTGAAACCACAGAAGACGGGCAGAGCCGCTGGCTGGAGGTGTTTGGTGGAAGCCCACCACTAACTCCTGGCCACAGCACCAGGACAGCCGGCTGAGAGGGGCTTGGGCCACACTCAGGGAACACAAAAAGTGATTTCCCACCCCAATTCTTCACAAACAGACTCTGAACTCTTCACCTTGGTGAGGCTCCATGTTTGTCTGAATGACTGTAGTGACTGGAGTCACTGGCTGTGGGGAAGAACCACCTGTGCAGGCCAGTGAAAGGAGTGCTCCAGTTCAGACCATTCCATTCGCAAAACCATTTCGGGAACAGCATCAAAGAGCTGCTGCAAAGCCTGGCCTCTGAAGTCCTTACAAGATAAATGTTATGAAATGGTCTGTGGTGCCAGCTTGGGATTGGAGCTGCTTAGAAATAAAATTAACGTTTGTAGTATTTCTGTCCCTTCCTGAACAGCGATCAAACCAACTTTCATGTTGCTGTATTGGAGAAGATTTAAATAGCTCTGAAGGAATTTAGAGAAGCTCCAGTTCTGCTGACGAGCAGCGTTTGGTATGGAATGGGATCTACTCTGTTTTGGTGGAGCTGAAGGTTACAGAAGTAAATCGCACTGAGCAGTCACATTAACAATGCCTGGGGTGTTTAGATTGTGTTCTCAAAATGAAGTTTTGGAGAACCCTGGGGCAGAATTGTTTCAAGTTCATAGTTCGTATCTGCCTGGTTCCTCAAACCAGGACAACAACTTTGGTACCTCCCCACATCACCAGAGAGGAAACGCCATTTTGAGTTATCTCCGAACTGCAAGGCTGGCGGTGTGAAAACAACCCAGGGACAAACAACTCCTTCAAGAGTTTCTTGTAAGAGATTCATGAATTTTCCATGATCAAATTCCCCAATGAACTATTAAACTCAAATGTGGTTTTTGGCTGAATTTGTGTAACAGATTGACATCATCTCGCCTCTAAATATAACTAAATCAAAGCAGATTTCACCATGCAGAAGCACTTCATCAAAATGAACTGCAGCAAAGCAAGTTATTTTATTCTGTATCACACGTAGACAGATGCATCAACCACAGAATAATTCTCTTACGTGGACAGAAATACTGGTTTTCTGTAAAAGACCATTCCACTTCTTGCCAAAAGTATAGTTTCAGTATCACCCTTTCTTTAGTAAAGCAGTGCCATGAGGGCAATGAGTCAAAGTTTCTGTAATCTTATCTTTTAATTTCCTTTTTCATCTTTAGACCTCAGTTTAAACTGAGTCTGCACCTCAAGACAAACGATGGCAAAGAGGAGAGAATTCTTGCCTTTTTGGGGATTCTCCCCTTCGAGACCCCTTTGTTTTCAATGTTTAATATTGCTACCTCATAATAATTGGTTTACAAAAAAAAAAATTTAAAAAGCCCTTTGTAAGATACAAGAAAACAAAGAGTGTTGGTGGGCACATGGTCATTAACTAAAGAACCATTGACAGCAACCAGTAAAAGGGAATAGAAAGCATTTAACAGGACCATCAGGGGTTTCAGTAACATTATTATTATTAATAAAAATAAAACAATAATAACAATAATAACAATAATTTTAATAATAATAATTATTATTATCATCCTCATCAGTGGGGTCTATAAGCTTGTGCCTTACCTTGGTACTGGCCACCCCAATCTCTGGTCCTGCATTGATATGGACTCCACAGTCTGTCTCTCGAGATATCGAGCTCCCGACTGTGTTAGTTATTCCTACAGTTAAGGCTCCTCTCTCTTTGCAGTACCGGAGACCCATCAAGGTATCTGCTGTCTCACCTGGAAAGACAGGTATTGATGACACTGTGTTTGGTACCCGTCACTGCGGCCACCGCAGGTGGGAAATCCAAACCCAAATCAAATTCCCAAATCCCAAATTTGGGAATCCAGTGATTTCCAAAACAGAATCTTACAGGTTTGTATCTGCCTGCGAGTCAGAGTTATTTCAGCCCTGACACACTGTGTTTTAAGCCTAAAAAGAAGACAGTGAACTCTAGAACACAATAGTATTTGGTTTGAGGAAGAGTCAGTATTCCCTTATGGGGGGAAAAAAAAAAAAAAGTTCAAGTGTATCTTCTGTAACAAAATCAACTTTCTGCCTTTTCCTGGTTAATAAAAAAATCACCTGGGGCAGGGCAGGCTGGAGGGAAAACACATATTGGGGGTAGCTGATGTGCAGAGTGGATGCACTGAGTTACAGGTCGCCCTTGGAGTCCTGCCACCAACACCCAGGGGATCATTCGCTGCTGGTGCCCTCCAACACCACCAGAGCTTGCAAAATCTGTGTTCAAAGAGGTTATGTCTAAAACTAATTATTCTTGTTCACAATTGCTTGCACTATGCAAATTTAGATCGGCGTAGGTCAGACATAATGTGTCGACTCAAAAACTCCAGATATAAAGGAAGCAGAAAAAGTTGTTTAAATGAACATGACTGGGGGGATGGGGGGAATCTTGCACTAGAAATAGAAGCTCCCGTGTCTTCTATCTGGTGTTGCCAGTTTGGTTTTGTCCTAAAAGGGCACACCTCTTCTGAGTACCCCCTGGGCAGGAAAGGTGAGAACAGAGACCAAGGAGCCCCAGGGTTAATTCGATGCATTTCTCCTTCAGCTCATTGCTGCTGGAGCACTGCTCTGTGACCTGCCCAGCGGTGCAGGGTGGGCAACAGATTCATGGGTGAATGTGGGTGAACTGGGGCTATTTGAGCTCAATATTTACTTTGGTTTTGTACTGCCTGATGACCAAGCTCAGGTTCCAGGAAAATCTTCGTTATCTCATCACATCCAGCACCTCCAGGGACAGATGCGTCCCCTGGTGTGCCCTCAGTCTGTTCCCTGATAGAACTGGGACAGAGCTGGTTCTAAGGGGAAGCAGCAACATCTGCATGTGTATTCCAAAACTAGAGAAAATGTGAACATTTACACAGGAGAGGATATTCTGAACTCCTTGATACTGAGAAGAAAATATTGCTACTAAAAAAAGTATTCTAATGTATGGAAAAAAAGTAAGGACCAGCTATAGTATCGAAGCTGGACAGTTTATGAAACCTATAAAGGTACATGCAACTAAGAGGAAAAAAATATTGTAGTTTTGTACTGCAGGTGTCCTTGAAAGTATTTTGAATGTGATATAAATAATATTTTTTTTATGCTTAACTATATTTTTTATCTCATATTTCAAGGCTGTCATATTTTTTGATACTTGTGTTTAATAGTTTCATTTCTTTTATGGATCTGATCCACCACATAGCTCAGTATTTGGTACTGCTTTGCCTAGAGAACTAAAACTATTCAAAAGAAACTATCGAGGTGCCTTTACCCAGAGCTCAGTAGCATTTTTTCAGCCTGTTGACTGATGGAGTATTTTCTCACAGAGAAAGGAAACAAAACTACTGCTACCATATGTAAGACTCATCTAAACAAAATCCTGCACCCGCAGGCAGATGGATGGGAGCAGAACCACTCTATTTTTTCCCCATCTCCAGGACGTGTGTGCCAGTTCCTCCTCTCACGCCTTCCACACACCATCCTCCAGGCAGGCACAAGAATTTGGCCCTGCTGCCTCCTCCCTCCCTCCCATTTACAGGAAAAAGAGGAGCGAGTAGGTGGCAAAGCCAGACCCTACCTGACTGGCTGATGAAAAAGCAAACATCGTCTCTGAAGACAGGGGTGTTTCTGTCCAAGAAGTCACTTGCCAGTTCAACCATAACAGGTAATTCAGTCAGTTCTTCCAGAACCTGGCGGGTCTGGTAAAAGGAGATGTCAGAGTTACATATTACATCTTGCTTTAAAAAAAGCCAAGTGTTTGCAGTACAAAAAAAATGCCGTCTAAGTTGCCACACACTGGAAAATATTACTATCAAAATACCACGTGAAAAGTAGTGCTGGATTATATTTTAATTGCTCAGTGTACCCACACTCAAGTCACGCAACTCCCCCTGTGAAAAGTGACCCTGCTTTTGGCACCACAAAAAGCCCGTGAGGCCTTAACTCCTCCTTTCCGTGGAGACTGGGCTTAAGTAGGTCTCACTGATTATTTATCACTGCATGTGATATATATGTGATATATATATATATATATATATATATAAAATCATAGACACACTGGAAAATATTACTATCAAAATACCACGTGAAAAGTAGTGCTGGATTATATTTTAATTGCTCAGTGTACCCACACTCAAGTCACGCAACTCCCCCTGTGAAAAGTGACCCTGCTTTTGGCACCACAAAAAGCCCGTGAGGCCTTAACTCCTCCTTTCCGTGGAGACTGGGCTTAAGTAGGTCTCACTGATTATTTATCACTGCATGTGATATATATGTGATATATATATATATATATATATATATAATCATAGAATTGTCTAGGTTGGAAGGGACCTTTAAGATCATCTAGTCCAACCATTAACCGAATTCTGATAAAAAAAACCAAAACAAAACACATCCCTAAACCATGTCTCTAAGCTCTATGTCAACCCGTCTTTTGAATCCCTCCAGGGATGGTGCCCCAACCACTTCCCTGGGCAGCCCATTACAAGGCTTAATAACCCTTTCACTGTAAAAATTTTTCCCAACATCCAATCTGAACCTCCCCTGGCACAACTTGAGGCCAGGATGTCTTTCTTCTACACGGTGTCCTTCTATCAGACTATAACTTCCATTACTGAAGAACTCGGAAACCACCACCTGTACATGGGCCAAGCCAGAAACTTGTTTTGGCTAGTCAGTGGATTATCCTTATTATCTTACAGCAAAAGCCAAAAATTTTCTTCTCTGGTTCCTTGTGAATCAGTGAACATAGCTGTGTTTGCAGGATTTCCAAGAGAAGCTAAAAGACTCCTCTGCAAAGCTGTGGAACACTTTTAATTGCTGCAATCTAAAAAGGCTTCGTCTCCAGCCATTGCACTTTCACCAGTGATTAGGTCAGGCCTTGACGAAACAAAATCCCCCATGGGCTGCAGGCAGAGCCTGTGAGGCACTGGGTGAAACCTCTCTGCTTACTGGGCGAGCACTGGGATGTCTCCAAGCCGGTGCCACCACTGTGCAAAGAGCGAAGGAGGAAACCCTGTCTGGCTCACGGCAGCCCCTGCCCTGCTGCAGCATTTGCATTCTCCTCTTGCGTTGTCTCTTCCTCTGCCAACCTCTGTCTTTTTTGACAGAGCAGGTTTGGGGTTTTTAGGCCTTCCACAGCAGTGAAAGTCACAGGGAATGTTTTCAGAAGCACTCAAGTTCTTCAGCTTTTATTTCCTGCTGCTGTTGCTGGTGAATCAAAAGTCTGGTATATGCAGCTCTCCAGAGGGTCCTCCCTCAGCAGCGTTCCCTTGCTCAATCTTAACCTTAAACTCTTTCTTAACCTGCTTGACACATGCAACACTGTGCCTGCTGCTCAATTCTAGCTATAACTCATGAAGAGATCAAGACTGAGCACTTACTGCGACTCCGGCATGATAACTTGTCCCACAAGCAATAAGGATTAAACGACGACACCTCTGGATCTCCTTAATGTGATCCTTCAACCCACCGAGATTTACTGTAAGCAAGATTCAGAGAGAATGGTCAGGCCAGCCAGGCAGCAGTAATTCTCAAGACTGCTGGTGCCAACACCCAGCGGGTTACAATCTCCATCAACCACTTTGCCAAAAAAATAACATCCCCAAAAGCAGCCTTGCCCCCAGTGCATGTAATTCTGGCAGCGCTCGCTGTGAGACACATGCGTTGTCTTACACCAGCATGTTTTAATCTCCCATGTCACCACCTGCTTCCTCCTCTGTAACTGGTGTGAATAACTACTAAATACTGAGCTGTCAAAAATAAAGGAGGCTTAATCTCAATTACCCGTGTAGTCATCGAAGTTGACCCTTCCTCTCATTGTATTCACAACGGATTCTGGCTGTTCAAAAATTTCCTTCTGCATAAATGAGCTGAAGTTACCTATAAAAGAAAGAAACGATACAAAACAAATGGGAACACTTTAAATTACTTCCTGGTAATTCCCATTTTTCTTATGTATATAGGAAAAAGCTCAGACCAGAGTCACTAACGGGCCAGGTATCAGTCAGATTATTAAGATGATGCTTCTTATTTTCCCAAAGCATCAGCTCATCGTGACAGTTGGACTCACGTTACTAGAACGTGTTGATGAAGAGTCAGGTCTGGAATGGCAATCCTGCCAGGGATCAACCTTTGAACAAACAGACTCCTCCATGCAAGAGGCAAAATCCTCAGCCCCACAATTCTCCTCATTACCATGTCAGCAGCCAGAGGGAAAGTCCCATTAGATGCACGGACAATTTTTTTCCATCATGAGGGCAGTAAAGCACTGAAACAAGTGCTCAGGCAGGCTGTGGGATGGCTGGCCGTGGAGATGCTCCAAAGTCAGCTCATCAAGGCCCTCAACACTCTGGTCTACTTGGCCCTGCTTGTAACACATGGACTGGACCTCTGGCCTCCAAAGCTCTTTTTCAACCTGACTTATTCTGTGACTCCAGGGAAGACCTGTGCATCTACACGGGTGACATCCGAGTGATTTTACCCTTCATGATTTGCTGGAGTTCCATCTGCAGGGTCTGGACGGCACGTCCGGGGTGATCTCCTGCTGTGCGCTTAATCCGGTGGATGGAGAGACGGCCGTCGACCACAGCTGCTACATCATCATCTTCAAGGAAAATCACTCTGTTGGTATGCTCAATGACAGCGCTATAAAAGCATACACCGTTTGCCATAAGACATTATTCTTCACAGAAAGATGAGGGCTGCAGCCCTATTTATAATCCAACATACAGCCTGATTCAAGAAAGTTACTCATTTCAATGGAATTTCTTTTAAAATGAGTAAAGTACATTTCCACACTGCCAATATAACTGAATTTTTTTCCACCTACCTCATTATTAATTTCAGTGCCTGCTTTAAGAAGAAACTATGAATTCCTTAGGCAGAGCAGCGTGTGCAGTGATGTGATCTTGAGCACATGGGGTGCTCAAGCGTAGATGCAGAGTTCTCTCTTGGTGTTCCCAGTAATAAGCCACTGTCTGTCCCTGCACCTCATTTTCCCATCTGGAAAAGTGGGGACAGCTTGGCCACCCATTAAAGTACTTTGAGATGTGCTTAGAAGCACTCGCGAATGAGGTACTACTGAATACCTTCCCTGCAGGCAGTTTACTCAGGAGACGTCAATATCGGAATTTCCAGTGGGGTTTCCAATCTTTGGTCAGGTTCAGTGTGTACCCTCCCTCAGCTGAACAAGGCAAGCTGTACCCAAATACAGCAGCTCCCTATTTTAGTAGCTTTTATCCTGACCTTGGGCAAGTCACTTGAAAAGCTCTTTAAAATCAGAACACATCAGGGTGTCCTAAGACTCTCCAAAATGCTCTGATGAAAGGAGCTGCAGAAGCCAACCACAGCAGTATTTTTACGTTTCTGGAACAAGTATTAATTTCCCTAATATAAAGAAAACCAAAAGTTCTGATAAACTGTCAAGTTAGTCTTTCCTCCCTCTTCTGGAATTAAAAAAAAGCCACCTTTGATGATAAGGAATTGCACGTGTGCAGAGCTCCCTGGAGAATCAACACAATTCTCCTGATAATTAACATCTGTCCTGTTGATTAGGTCAGTACTCTCTCAGGTTTCCTATCACTCACCTCTGGAATCTTATCAACAGATGTGCTCGAAGAAGGATAACTATTCCAAAGCAAGTGTTCATTCCTTCAACAGAAACTCCCACCTAACCTACCTCTGACTCTTTCAGGGCCACATACAAAACTCGTTAGTGTTCGTAAAGTAATGGCCACACGCACCTAATTTACTATTACTCACAAAGAACCCACAGCCTCCTCACCTCTTGGTCAAGGCCTCAGCTTTAAACTGCATAGTTTTATATATGCTAAAAGGCACTGAAAAACATTACCTGGCATCAGAAGCAAAGTAGTACTCCACGGCTTTCTCCTCGACAGGGAAAAGGCAGGTGGTGCTGTCAACGCGAGACAGGTTGCAACTTCCCTTCTTGTCTTTGCCTACAAGACAGGAGGATTAGGGACCACAGAGGGACACATCTGGAAGGCAGCTGCGATGTCAGGCTCAGCCAGAGGCCCCAAGGCACCGTACCAACATGAAGCACTATTTTCATCACTGGGAGCAGTCACAGTGAAGTTATCAGCAACCCTGGGGGAGGGCAGCACACCGGCGCTCACGGTGTTGCATCCCTTCCCAGTTTGCTTCCCAGGCTTTTCATGAAGTCTGCAAGTGTAATGTTAGTGCAGAGCTTTAAGTTTAAAGGGAAGTATCAGTAAAAATTCAAGGGACAGTTCTATGTGTGGCTCCACTAACAGAAGAGGATCCAAGCTGCTCTATGAGCACTCACATTCACCAACATTTTACCACTTGGATCTGCCTGGTTTATCATTTTAAGTTTCTCCTGTTTCACTGGGGTTCCTGAGGCTTTGAGAAACCCGGCAGAATTGCGCTTTCTCTGTCAGTTACTCCCAGCACTGGGTGAAAAGTGAAATTCTCTCAGAGCTGCCACCTGCACAAGCCCTGTTCCACCAAGCATGGGCAGAGATAACCCAAACCCCAGCACGTGTGTTCAGACACAGCTTGGGAAACACGGGATTAAGCACTCGCCCTTGTTGCTGGACTGTCACACACAGCCACCTCATCCTGATCCAGCTGGGAACTGCCACAAGCCCTATGCTATTTCCAGGGAAGCATCCGGGTGTACTGAAGGGCAGGAGTCAACCACTGGAAAACTTGCACTAAGCCTTTAAGGAAGTTCAGTGTTTCACCAGGGATCCTTCCTGAAGTCCTGGCAGTTCCCAGTGCTCTCTACTCCTCCTCCTCTTTAACTGCAGAGAACGCCTCTCCGTGGCGCAGCTCCTCGGGAATGCAGATGAGGACCCAAATATCTACTGCTTGAACAAAATCATTTGCCAGTCACTGTGTACAGTGTGGTAAGGGGTGGGGGTGGATTAATCAGGGTTATCTAGCAACACGTGACTATTGCTGAAGAATAACAACACTGAAGTTATTATATATTTTTTCTAAAGCTCTAATGTTGTGTTTCAGCTACTAGATAACTATCTGATTCAGTGATGTCAGTAAAGCTCGTGACACTTAGGTTTATACTTCTGTAAATGAAAATGTCAAGAAAAAAATACTGCTTTCATGTTGATACTCAGTAGGAAGGTACCAGGCAACAATTTAGAGCCCTCCACTTTAGTTATTACATCAGTAAATGAGGAAAACACCTCCTTCATTGTTGAGTTGAGACAGGACAGACTGATTTGTTGCTGAGAAAGGACAGAGCAAAGGTGTTAGCGGCCGTTCTCCAACAGAAGCACCCACACTTGATCAAAACATGCAAATTTTGTTCCTTAACATTTCCCTGCATTGACTTTATTATGTCGCATTGCTTTCCTGCTCCACGCTGAGCTGTAACATGTTCTTGTTGTGCACAAACACATGTGCTGTAGGTGTATCTTACAAGGAGTGGCTGGAAAGTTATGGTGTATTATCAGCCAGTTATGGTCGTTACCTATGGATTTGGCCATAGATTGTCCATTGGCCCATGGATAACCTGGACTGATCCCCTACAGCACCCGCCTCCCGTTTACTAGAATTTAGAAGCAATACTGCAGTGATCTTTTCATCTTTTCCCTTCTGAGAGAATTAACAGAGGTATAGCGAAAAACGTGTGGGGTGTGGTACGTGTGGAGTGTATTTCAGTACCACCTCCCTCTCTGTTCTGACAATCCCAGGCATATGGCAAAGGTGCTACAGCACAGAGTTATACAGCTGCTTCCTAATGGGTTCTTCCACACTTACTTGAGCAGCACTGAACTTTTAGTTTCTGTAAGAGCTGTTTTCAGATGCAGCACTAGACAACTAATGAAACAATGATTATAGTCAAAGATATTCCAATCTGTATTTCATATGGTCCATTCTTTGAAAAGCCTTTGTGCCACTGAAAGCTGAGGGACTTTGGTTCTTAAAACCCCTGGGACTTAGCCTGACTCAGAATTTTACTAATTTTACTCTAAGCACTTCATGCTGACTTGGGACACTTTTGATAAAAGGAAGCAAAACCTCCCCTAATGTTTGGTTTCAGGTGAACCAGCTCCTGACAGAGAACAAGCACAGTTCACCTTCCAACAAGCTGAGGTTGGTTTCTCCTCCAGCAAAAGCGCAGATTTCCCTCCTGGAGCTGGCAGTGCCTGAGCCTGGAGACATGTTTATTTACAGAAAAGTGCTCTCCAGCTTCAGTTCATCACATCACACACGATGGCTTAACCTTTACAAAAATTAAGTACTTCATGTGAATTAAAAATGGTTCAATGGGCAAAGGGAAGTAAATTCCAGCCTCAGGCCAGCCTCACTGCTTCTAGCAGGAGCTGCAAGGCAGACTCCTGCTCCCATCAGGAGGACATAGCTCTGACAGCCTGAACTCCAGAGGGAACTCTGGAGGATACTTGCATCAGGATTATTAGCAGCCTCCTAACAGAGTCTTACTCTATGGTTTTGTGGAGTTTTTTTTTTTTTTAAGGTAATTTACTGTTTCCTTCCATAGCAAGAGCTGCAGGGAGCATGACCTGCACTAAATCATGAATTTTACACATATGCTGAGCATTATGTCAGAATATTTGAAATGGGACAGGCGGGCAGGGTGGATTTCCCTGTGTGTCGTTCATGGTGTTTTGGATCAAGAAGGAATTCCCATTATCCCACTTGTTTCACTATCCTGCACGGAAAGCAATAACCACATATTAAAGAGACAATGCGTCTTTGTCTCATTTGTGATTCCTTTCCTAAGGAACTGGAGGATTTGTCTGAACTTTCAAGCATTAGATTTTCTCTGGTAGGCACCTTCCTCCATTTTTATGGATATTCCATCAAAAGAATGATCCATAGATTGTACAGCTGAAAGTATAATTGGGAAAAAAAAAACAAACAAACACAAAAAACTTCAGATAATCAGTGAAAAAAAAAAAAAAAAGGGTTACATACATACATACATTAAGGATTACTGGTATTTATCCAACATCAACCAAGAGTAAGCACAGACCAAGCTTGCTGAGACTGGTTCTTCTCGTTACCTTGCAGCAAACTGTCATTAACACCACCGTTAGGAAGCAGCAAGACCTACTGCAGAGTGAGTCCTTGTGGTCCCTGCAGGGCCTGGAGAACTGCTCCAGCGCCCGGGAACTGAAGGCTTCACATGCCTCTGACAACAGTACACTACAGGATAATTCTTGGCCACTACTCATTTTCAAGGGTGGAACTACGTGTCTACGGTGGTAAAATACATGTGTGAGTGAAAGATGGACAGACACCAGAAATATACGTTGCCACGCAGAGGGTAACAGCATTTTTAAACTGACTTTTTAAAAACTATGTTGGAGGAGCAGGGGAACGTTGTATGATGGTGCAAAGCCTACAGCCTGCAGCACACCCCCATTTCACTCCTGAAAACAACCAGGTCCAGGAATGCCAATATACCACACACAAAATATAAACTTAAGTATCTAAGTTTAACTATACTGTTGAATTTACTTTACTGAACTATTTTATTCTACTCTACTGCATTAAGATGTGTTTTCCTTGCAACCACTGGACTTTAAAGCTTCGATTATAAACCCAGAGACTAAGTTGAGGTACAAGGTGGTATTGCATGTGGCTAAAAACTTACTTTAAAAAATTTGAAGTATTTTTTATAATGGTTAAATTTACAGCAGAAAGTTTAAAAGTGCAATATGTATTCATGGAATTGTCAGAGTTGGAAGGGACCTCTAGGGACCATCCAGTCCAACTCCACTGCCAAAGCAGGGCTGCCCAGAGCATCCAGGAGGGGCTTGAAGATCTCCAGAGAAGGGGACTCGACACCCTCCCTGGGCAGCCTCTTCCAGGGCTCTGCCACCCTCACTGGAAAGAAGTTTGTCCTCATATTTGAGGAAAATATATATATAAACATCCTATGTTCCAGTTTGTGCCCATTGCCCTTCATCCTGTCACTGGGAATCACTGAAAAGCGTCCAGCTCCATCCTTCTCAACTTGGGAGCATTAATAAGGTCTCCCCTCAGCCTTCTCTTCTCCAGGCTACTCCAGAGCACAAAGCTGTTTGTGAAGCTCTGTGCTCGTGCAATGGCCTGAGTGTGAGCGGAGGCGGTTGCCCCGGGGAGGGGGAAGCCCCCACTTACCCGTGCGGTAGAGAATGGGGATGTGGTCGGTGGAGAGCTTGTGCTCGCTGCGCACTCCGATGAGCAGGGGGCTGCCTCGCCTGCAACGAGACACCCAGTTACAGCCCACAGCACCCCAAAATTCCTCACCCGGACATCCGACCCGAAGGGACTGCTATTCTCCAGCACAGCAACCGAACCGAACGAGAACAAACTCCTCCCAGGTAAGCTGTTGGTGCTGCAAACATGGGAGGCCACGACACGGAGTGAAAGAATCTCTGAATAAACACAGCACAAGGACGTGAGGAATCTGCCTCAAGTTTAGCAGAAACTCTGCAAGAGGAACTGCAATCCCAGGGACACTCGAACTGGGAACACACTGGCTGTTGCTCACTGTACGTGTCTACAACCAGCTCCTGGGCACGGGGATGGTTAAACCAACCCGACCAATGGTGACATCTAAAAGTGGAGTAGAGAGCCCCAACACCGCACTGGCCCGACTTTAAGTCAACTGGAGGACTTGTCCAAATGCTGCCACAAAGGCCATGACAAAGGAAGAAAGAAAACCGTCTCCTTCCAAAGCTCTCCCGACCAGAGCCTACACAAAAGAAAAAAGCTGTTCCAGACCAGTTGTGGTACAGCTGGTCACTGAGACATTTTCAAAGTGTTTTTTGGAATTTTCTGTTATGATAAATGGAAAAGCAATAGAAAGGAAATGAAAAACACCAGCCACGCTCACCCCAGTGTGTACAGCGTTGTGGGAACAACCTCTACTCCACTGTCTTCTAACTTGGGGGGACAAAAAAAAGGTGTGGCATAAAGGGTGCAACGAGGACGTTCTTTCCCATGGCAATACTTACCTGGTACCGACGGCCTGGCCAGGATAATGAACACTTTTGAACACCAGGGCGAAAGCACCTTCCTGGAACAAGAGAAATACAAACTCTTTATCCTGTCATTTGAGGCCTGGACCACCTTTTTGTGATTCCCAGCCCAGTGTTTCTGCGAACAAGCAAGAGGTACTGGGGAGAAGGCTTCACAGCCCTCTTCAGAGCCACTAGGTGCCCCCACCCCTGAGCCTGGGCAGCTCTTCCTCAACCACTGAATGAGTCTTCTGAGCCCCCAGACAGACACTGCACTCCAGACATCACCATGCAAGGGCTCCTGCCTTTGCTGAGAGTGCGGGGAGGGGACTTGCAAAAGCAAAGGCCTGGTAGAAGCACCAAAGCTCTGGGGTGCTTGCTCAGGTGTGGTGCCACCAAAGGTCGAGGGGAACCACCGCAATCTGCCAGCAAAACGTGTCTCTGCTCTGCTGCTACCACAGCTCCTGCCAGGCAAATCCCTGGAAAACCACCTCCTGACCAAGGGGCTCTGGGCCAAAGAACACTCGGCTGGATCCTGAGCACAACTCGGCAGGAGCCGCCCCTGGAAGGAGCCGCCGTGGAGCGAGGTTCCCACAAGGGGTCAGCAGCTCCTCCGGACGGGAGCTTTGGGGACCATCTCGAGCACAGACCCATTTTCACTCTGTCCCACCCAATACCACCGACCAGCTGCCTCGAGGTACTCCTGCGTCCCCACATTTAGACGTTTTTCACCAGTATTGGCTAACTGTATGTCTGAGATGAACGGTCAGAGGTAGGAAAGGTGAAACCACCCCTTCACGTGTGCCGCAGAACGCGCTGCGGCAGCGTCTGGCACAGCCAATACTGGAGCACGGGTGTTATTTCTTGTTTTAAGCGTGTCTCTGTGTGTGTCTGTACTGGGCTGTGTGTCCTTGTCCCCATATCCCCACCGGCACCCTGCTCCCAGCATTACCAGCTGCTGGATGACCCTCTCCACCAGGGTGGTGAAGCTGATGTCGTCGCTGTCCCGGTTGTCGTACATGTACTTGACCAGTTTGGCGATGCTCTCCGTGTCCGTCTCCGACTCGAAGTCGTAGCCTTTGCTCTCCTGCAGCAACAGCACACAGTGGGTAACCTGCCCTCTCCCCTCCCTTTTTCTGCCTTCTGTCCTCTTCTCTTCCTTCCTTCATCTCCTTCCTTCCTTTCCTGCATTTCCTTTTGCTTTTTCTTCTCTCCTCTCCTGCCTTTCCCTTTCTCCTTAATCCCTCCTTTTCCTTTTTTGTCTTTTTTTTCCCTTTGCCTCATGCCTTTCCTTGTCTCCTACCTTCCTCCCCACCCTATCTCCTTTCCTTTTTTGTCTTTTTTTTTCGTCCTTGCCTCTTTTTTCCATCCTTCCCTCCTGCTTTTCCTCTTCCTTCTTGCCTTTTGTTTTTATTTCTTTCCTGCCTTCCCTTGGTTTTATCCCTCCATACTGCATTTCTTTTTTTCCTTCCTTTTTCTATCCTTCCCTCCTGCCTTTTTCCATCCATCCTTCTTCCTTCATATTTTCCTTTCTTCTTTCCTGCCTTCCTCTTCCTTCCTTCCTACTTTCTCCTTCTTTCCTCTTCCTTCTCTTCCTTCCTTTCCTTTTCTCTTTCTTGCCTTTCCTTCTTTCAATTTCCTTTATCTCCTTCCCTCCTGTTTTCCCCTCTTCCTTTTTTCCTGTCTTTTTTTATCCTGCCTTTTCCTTCAATTTCCTTGCATCCTTCATTTCTGCCTTTCCTTTCCTTGCCTCCTGCATTTCCTCTTCCTTTCCTTTCCTGCTTTTTTCCTCTTACTTTCTTCTCTTCTGCCTTCCTTATTTTCTTACCTTTTCCTCCCTACTTCCCTTTTTCTTTTTCCTGCTTTCTTTCATTTTTTCTTTCCTCTTTCCTTCTTCCTCACCCCTCCTTTCCTTCCTTTTCCTCTTCCATATTCTCCTTCTTTTCCTGCACTTCCTCTCCCTTCTTCTTTCTTGCCTACCTTTTCCTTTCTTTTCGACTCCTTTTCCTTCTTCCCATTTTTCCTTTTCATCTTTTCCTTTCCTTCCCTTCCTTACCCCCCATTTCCTTCCTACCTTGCCTTTCCCATTCCTTCATTTCCTTGCCCTCTTTTTTACTTCCTTATCCTTCCCTTTTCCTTCCAGCTTTCGCCCCCATCCAGTGCACTGCCTTCCTTTTCCTTCTTTTCCTTCTCCTTCCCACACCGTTATTGTGAGTGGGAGAGCGAGACTGCGTGTGAGCAGATGATGAAGTGCAAATGGAAGAGTGAGCATGCAAGTGGGTGAGTGCATGTGACAGTGCAAAAGAGAGGGGAAGAGTATGTGTGACAGTGACGTGAGTGCAGGGAGTGAGTGGGGACCGACCGTGCATACTGAGTGCAAGGGTGAGTGTGTAAGATGGAAGGTGCACAAACATGCAAGTGGAAAAGAGTTAAGTGTGAGAACATGAGTGTGACTGGGGGAAGTCAGCTGAAGTGTGAGTTGGGTTTGAGTGCAAATGTGGAGGGCGTGTGCGAGTGCTCCCTCGAGTGTGAGCTCAGGGGTGCGCGTGACTCTGGATGGGGGAGTGCACAAGAGTCAGGGGTGAGTGTGAGTGCATGAGTGAGAGTGCAAGAATGAGTGAGGAAGATCATGTGCAGGAGTGAGTGTGAGTAGGAGAGTGAGTGGGAGGTGAGCACGAGTAGGGAACTGGGAGTAAAAGAATAAGTGAGGAGTGCGAGTACGGGAGGAAGTGTGAGAACGTGATTGGGGATTGGGAGAGTGAGTGTAAGTAGGAGTGAGTGTGATGACTCACTGAGGAAAAGGAGGGACTGCGTGAGAGTTGGGGAGTGTGTGAACAGGGCTGAGTGTGAGTGGGGAAATGGGGAGTGAGAAAGGCAAGGGTGAGTGGGTGAATGTGAGTGTGAAAGCGAGTGTAAGAATGAGCGGGGACTGATGAAGAGGAGAGTGGGGAAGTGGAAGAGAAGTGGGGGGTGAGTGGGAGAGTGAGTCAAGTGTGAATAGGGGAGTGAGTGTGGGAGTGAGGAGCGTGAGTGGGACGGTGAGTGGGAGGGTGAGTGTGAGTGCAGGAGGGTGAACAGGAGGGAGAGAGTTAGATGGGGAGCAAGGCGGAATAGGGAGTGTGAGCAGAGTGTGAGAACGAGTGCAGGGGTGTGAGTGTGTGTGGGAGCGTGTGAGGGATGAGTGGGGGCAAGTGAGTGGGGCAGTGAGGAGGAGTGTGGGCGGGAGAGTAAGTGTGGGCAGTGAGGGGAGTGGGAGCTAAGAGTGTGAGAATACGAATGGGGAAGCAAGGAGGGTGAGCAGGAGAGTGTGAATGGAGGAGAAATGAGTGTGAGGTGAGTGGGGGAAGCACTTGGGAGAGTGTGAATGGGGAGTGAGTGTGAGACATGAGTGGGGGATGGGTAGGGAGGGCCAGGGGGGTGTGAGGGCTAAAATACGAGTGGTGGGATGAGGCAGTGAGTGGGGCAGAGCAAGGAGTGAAGCGAAGCACAAGTGAGGGAGCGTGAGGCGAGTGTGTGAAGCGGGAGAGTGAGTGTGAGTGGGTGAGTAAGGGAGTAGGGGAGTCATAGAAAACCTGTGAGTGGGAGAGTGAGTGTGAGTCAGGGAGTGTGTGAATAGGGAAGCGAGCAGAGAAGTGTGAATGGGAGTGCAAGTGGACGAGTGTGAGCAGGGGAGGGAAAGGGAGTGGAATAATGAGAGGTGTGAGTGGACGGGTGTGAACAGAGTGAGCGTGAGAATGTGAGTGGGGAAGTGTGAGTCAGGGAGTGTATGTGTGAGTGGGGAATGAGTGGAGGAGTGTGAGTGGGACTGGGGGAGAGTGAGGGAGGGAGGTTGAGTGAATGCAAGCAGGGGAACATGAGTGGGGGAGTGTGAATGGAGAGAGGTGAGTGTGAGAGCAAGTGTGAGTGAGCAGGGGAGTGTAAGTGGAGAGCGAGAATGAGTGAGGGAGTGTGAATGAAGAGCTGGGGGGGAGGAATGGATGAGGGTGAGTGTAAGTGTGAGGGGGGAGTGCAAGTAAGGGATTGAGGAGGAATGTGAGCGGGAGGGTGAGTGTGTCTGGGGGGGTGTGACTGAGGGAGGGGTGGAGGGGGCAGAGGTGTGGGAATGTGAGTATAAGTGTGAGAGTGCAAGTGGGTGAGTGTGAGTGCAAAAACATGAGTCAGGGAACATGAATGGAGGAGAGTGAGTGTGAGTGGGGAGTGAGTGTAGGTGGGAATGGGGAAGGAGGGGGAGTGAGTGTGAGAACATGAGTGTGAGTGGAGCAGTGGGACGAGTGGGAGAGTGCAAACACGAGTGGGGGAGTGAATGGGGGAGTGTGTGAGAGCCAGAGTGAGCAGGAGAGGGAGGGAGTAGTGGGAGAGTGTGAGTAGGGGAGCGAGTGTCACACACAGAGGTCACTCACCAGGAATTTCCGCAGGTCCTTGTAGTTGGTGATGATGCCGTTGTGGATGACAATGAACTCTGGAGAGAGAGGAAAGGCCCAGATCAGCCCCACACCAGCAGATCAGCCCCACACCAGTGCCCACATCACACCGACAGCAGAGACCACAAAACTTTATTGTGTGAAAAGCCATACTTGGCAGAATAAAGAGAAGAGCTTCACCTCCTGGTGTGATTCCCTTGTTCTGCCCCATTTGGCTGGTAATAGTGAAAGACAACACTGACATGGGTGGGACATGGGCTCCTGGGATCCTGTGCAAAGTTTCTGGAGGCACTTAAGGATTTGGCAGTTTCCAGCCTGCTGGAAGCCATTAAACACCCAGCTTCTCCTGCCAGCTTGTCACTGCTGCTCCAGACACTAACCAAGCTGTGTGCTGTAGCACAGAGGAAATGCCTTCCATAGTGGTGATTATGGAAAAAAATTAATAAATGGGGAAAAAAACCCCCAAAATTCCATTCCAAAGAATAGCCATGAAAATTCTTACCATCTGATTTTGTTGTGTGTTTACCTCCTCCTCGTGCCGTGCCCACGTACCCACCAAACCTCTGGGCACTAACTCCAACCCCTCCTGAGATGGTTCACTACTGTGAGCACACCCCATGGCCAGAAATCAGGGCCAAACCCAGCTCCACAGCCACGGGGCTCGGACTCATGGCCTGCAACAAACCCACTGCCCCATGACATGGCAGGTGTGACAGGCAGCAGGCTTTCCAAAGACCTGCTGAGGAGCACAGGGTTCCTCCAGAAAACACTCACCGTTGTTCTTATCCGAGCGCTGGGGGTGGCTGTTGACAGGACTGGGCTCGCCGTGGGTAGCCCAGCGGGTGTGGGCGATTCCAAGGTGTACATCAAACTCGATGTCGAGGTCCATGTCCTGTTGCTCTGCAGCAGAAAGGAGAGATTTTCAATACAAAGGGGGTGTCCCTACCCCGACAGCATCGTGGAGTCTCACCAGCCTCCGGAGCAGCAACACTGGCAGGGAAATGGAACCAGCAAACCCAGCAACCCACCAAGCCTGTTTTCAGGGGATTCAGAATGGACACACAAAAGCAACCTCTCTGCTTTCCTCACCCCACAGAAATAAATAACAACTTGTAAGAAAGAATCCAACCTTAATTTCGCTCTCCGGGGTTCACCTTGCCATCCTGTCACCTGCCGTACACTGTCAGCTGAGACCAAACCAGCCCATTTCATGGTGACCTACCACTGTGGTCAGAACATGCATCACTAACCCTTATCTCTAGAAAGCATACCATTAGCATTAGTATTTCTTTGGGAAAAAAGATTCCTAGTGTTCCGTAAGAAGTGCCTCCACAATCTCTTTCTCAAACTGGATATCCTGCAATTTTCTTGAGCAGGCAAACATTTCTTCACGAATATTTTGGATAACTTCTATTTTTGTAACACACATACCACCCTGCCTGGCCTTTTTGCTGCCTGGTTTTCTCCACACCAAGATTAGATCTGCTGACCTTCCTCTTGGACAAGCAGGACCCTGCACCGTGAGGCTCACACGAGCATGGGTTAAAAAAATTGAGGTTACAACAGCAGCTCTTGAATGCAAACAGAATCACAGAATCACATGGGGTTGGAAGGGACCTCTATAGATCACCCAGTCCAACCCCCTGCCAGAGCAGGGCCACCCAGAGCAGGTCCCACAGGAACGTGTCTGGGGGGGTTTGAATGTCTCCAGAGAAGGAGACTCCACCATCTCTCTGGGCAGCCTCTTCCAGGGCTCTGCCATCCTCAAAAGGAAGAAGTTCCTCCTCATGTTTAGGTGGAACTTCTTATATTCAAGTTTGTGCCCATTTCCTCTTGTCCTGTCCCTGGGCACCACTGAAAAAAAGACCAGCCCCATCCTCCTGACACCCACCCTTGAAGTATTTATAGGTGCTGATCAGATCCCCCCTCAGCCTTCTCTTCTCCAGACTAAAAAGACCCAAGTCCCTCAGCCTCTCCTCGTAAGGGAGATGCTCCAGGCCCCTCCTCATCTAAACGAGGGATCTCAACTCCTCTGACAAGCTTCTTCCCGGTCTCACACAGCTTCCCTGTACCCCAGACCCAGCACCTCTGCAGTTCTTTCCATTGTGCCCAGATTCAGTGAATTTAACATTTAAATCAAGGGAACGTGAAGAGGCAGAAGCGGATGCAGAAGACCTCGCTCTCTGCGTTCTCATCAATTTGTCAGTCACACACATGCATCAGCGCTTTCCTGAAGCCAGTTGCTCAACCCGTCACTACTCGATGGACAGCTTGAGTTGGGACAAGCATTATATATGAAAATTTAAAATTCAACTGGTGAAGCTATTACAGCATTTCTCTTTTTTACCCAACCTCTGGGTCTGCAATAATTATCTCCCAGTAATTCCCCTTTCCCCAGTTTAAGGAGTTTTTTGTTTGAGGGATTGGGGTTTTCTTGGTCTGTTTTCTAAAATGTATTTCAGATCTATTTTACTTTAATGGGATGTGATTCATCTGTCTGGAGAAATCAGGACTTCTGTGTAACTTCATGGCAACACCCAAAGGATCACTGGGTTCTTCACAGCACACCTGTGAGGGCTTGTATCTCTGGCGCTTTATACATGAGTTATTTGGAAATACAGTGTCTCTGGGTAAAACAGGTGATATTCAAACACAGACAGGATGAGAGGCCATTTCAAGGAAAGAGAGCAGGCAGAGAAGGGAAATACATACTGTGAACCTCCTCGTCCAGAGCCTTCACTTTCCCCTTCTGTTTGATAAGCTCGATTTTGCAAGCATTAGCTTCCCAGTCTTTGTCGTTTCCACCATCGATTCCCACACCTGGGCATCGCCACAGAACACAAAGAAAGAGTGTGAGGTGCAGAAAGTAAATCAGAGTTTACGTAAACAAATACTGCTTTTTTTTTTTTTTCTTTTTTTTTTTTTTTACAGTGCCTTTTCTCCCCCTGACCAATCCTCCCACACCAAGGCAAGAAACCCTCTAGATTAGAAGTGAGTTTTCCCTTTATCATTTTGTAGGTATTTTTAAAGCCTTAGATAACAGGCATCAAGAATGTTTATAAATATCTGTATATTGAAAATTAATCCAAGCCTCTGACCACACAATCACAGGCACATCCAATTTGTGTTTTGGCTTTCTTCAAAAGCAGAAGACAGTAGGAACCATTCACAAACATACCACAAAAATCATCATTTACAAGCCAAAATTAAAAAAAAAAGAACCACTGTCACTCAGAGAGAGGTACCTGCAGAGTCATAGCCTCTGTACTCCAGCCGCTGGAGCCCTTTGATAAGGGTCTCCAGGATCTCCCGTCTTGTCCGGGGAACATGGTAGTTCAGGTAAGCAAAGATGCCTGTATGGAGGAAAAGAGCATGATTTTACAACAAAATCACAGCTGAGGAAACTCCATCTGTGCATCTACTCAGTGTCTGCACTGAGTTAAAACTCCAACAAGCCTTTGAAGGGAGAACCCAGGGAAGGTACCACCATGTTTGCAGCTTCTTTTTACCCTGCCGAGATCCAACGGAGAAGATATCCCTAACATTTAAGGGAGCAAAACTAACCAAAAATGCCAGCATTCTCCTCGTGACACTGAAAGTAACTAAACAGGACAAGCCAGGTTGTGATGGGAAAAAGAATTTCCACGTGAGCTGGGCCTTCACGACAAAATGAGCTGCCAGGAGATAGTGCAGGGGAAAGGAAACTCATTACTTCACACCAAAAATTCAAGATTCGTTAACGCTGAGCTTTGCATGCTGAAGAACCATCTTCACAAGGAGCTTCCTTGAATAGCTTTCTCTAAGTTCCTCCCACCGCCTCACTAAGAAAAAAAAATAAAAAATATCATTTAATTCATGCAAACTAACACCCTCGAACTAATGGAGCTATTTTTCCTGGAGGTTGCAAAGGAAGATAAATCGCTGCTTCTATTTTTAAACAGTGATAGGGACACACAAATTCCTCGATCTCCAATGCCAACTATGGCTTTATTTCAGAAAGATTTCCTTTGGTGCCATCGAGAAGCAGGAGCATGAGAAGACACTTACAGGATGCTAGAAATAGCTGTACTTGAAATCTACCATTTCACCCTAATATTTTAAAGGAGAAAAATATCTACATGGAATAAAAGCAAGAGGGAATTCACACAAACATCTGTATGTGTAAGTGACTGGTAATTCAGGGTTTGTAATTTGAGAAACTTTATCAAAACCTCTGGAGAACAGAGTTCACACGCAAAAACCAAAGTCACTTTAAAGTGACTTCTTCACGTGTTTTCCTGACAGTAAAAATCTTCACGTGTTTTCCTGACAGTACTGCCACCCAACCCGCCTCCCAGTTCCCAAACTTCCACTCATGGGAAAAATATGTTCCAAAAATCATCTTGGGAGTGATAAATCGTTTACACACAAATTATTTTAATGAACATTTGAAGAACTGCATTCTTATGCTGTTTTCCTTTTGGAATTAAACTAAATAATTCAAAGCCCGTTGATGTCTTCATTTTCTAAGTCGAAATAGGGGCTACTCGGAGTCGATGGCTGCGCCGAATACCACACAGCAGAGCTCCCAAATGTTTATAAGGGGCTCTTCAGCCTGAGCAGGGACACCACGTTGTACGCAGCCACGTACCATCCTCACACTCTCCCATCCCTTCTCCCTTTTCCACTGACTGTGGCCTATAGGTCTGAGGGCAAGTTTGTCATAAACTTCACCTTCCCATTCCCAAAGCACCAGCATTGGGAGTTACATCTCCCTCCACACCGTGTCTCACATTTCCTTCCATATTGCTAAAAAAAAAATCAATTAGAGGCACGTTCTATTGTTCCTCTTTCTTAAACCACCTGGTCAGATGAGGGGAAAAATAAATAAAATGGAGCATTTCACTTGGCTTCTTTAGCTTCTATCTCCATTTCCCCCACAGCCTTTTCTGATAATGACTTGTAGGACTACCAGGACCAAGTTCATAGAAGTTTGCAGTTTCATTGCCATCGACCCTGACACCCCAAACCCATCGCGCACACAGGCCTGTGGCTGCCACCTCCTCGGGGCGTTTTATCCAGCTTGAGCGTTGGTTCCAGTAACTCCAGGGACAGGGTGAGGTCCTCCTCCACGGACCCCACAACTCACAGCTGAAAACTCCACAGGTAATAAAGCACTAGCAGCAGTTACCAGCCCCTGCTGTATGTCAAAAGCCTCCTCTGAAGGATACCTCCCCCACGCTTCTCCATCTCCAAACCCTCCTCCCCACCCTTCTGGCAAAAATAAACTTTTCTGATTTGAGATACTTAGTTCACTCTGTTTCTAAAAACCGCATTCTTCGGGCAAACAGCAACCTCCCTGTTTACAAGCAAACTGGCTCCAAAGAGCTGTCATCCAGGCTGAAGGATGGCACGTTTCAGCTATAGACTGGATGCCTAAAATCCTTTAGATGGCTTCCAGGTCTTACAACAGGGGTACAATGCAGATGGCCTTTGCCAGCAGGCAGCTGGAAAAGCCCCTCTCTCCATATTCACCAGACACCTCCCAAAGCAGTAGCATGACACATAAAAATAATGAGTGTGTCCCATAAAGCAGAGAAAACAAGCACACGAGATGCCTTTAAAAAGGCAGGATGGGCTCCAGCAGCTCCCAACATTCCCTTTTACACTGAAGCCACCCACCACAGCATCCAAAGTAAAGCTACTTCAGAAGGCATAATTATAACCAGCAGGGGTAATTACAGAAACACAAATGCTGATTACATTTTCCCAAATTAGCGAAATAATTTCACAGTTGAAACCTCTCTCCGTGTTTTTTGCACCTTGGACGCACACGCTAGGGGTCCCATTGCCACCCAAATCCTGGAGCCATAATCCTTTTCTGATGGCACTGGCATCAGCTGGGCCCATCAAACAGCTCTCCAGAAGCACCTACAACCTCTGTGCCCCCTTGGTGGCATTTCAGCCATCTCGCTATGGCATCCCCAGCCCCACTCAAGCACGCCGCTACCCACTGAGTAACTCCAACACCACAGCACAACACCAAAGGCCACTCAAGTTTGTTCTCCTGAGAAAACAGGGACCAATGATGAGCATTATGGTGCTCTGGAGCCAGAACATCAGGTTAGCCATGGTGAGACAGCTCCTGGAAGTCCTTCCCCATGAACAGCAGCAGCACTAGAGTCAAAAGAGCCTCATTGACAGGAGAATCAGAGAAGTGCTGTGGTTGGAAGAAACCTTTAAGATCATCAAGTCCAACCTTACGCCCAGCACTGCCAAGTTATCACTAGCCCATGTCCCTCAGCACCTCATCTACATGTCTTTTAAATAGCTCCAGGGATGGTGACTCCACCACCGCCCTGGGCAGCCTGTTCCAAGGTTTCACAACCCTTTCCATGAAGGAATTTTCCCCAATATCCATCCTAAACCTCCCCTGGGGCAACTTGAGGCCATTTCCTCTTGTCCCATAGCCTGTTCCTTGGAAGAAGAGACCGACCCCCCCTGGCTACACCCTCCTTTCAGGGAGTTGGAGAGAGCTAGAAGGTCTCCCCTCAGCCTCCTTTTCTCCAGGCTGAACACCCCCAGCTCCCTTAGAAGTTCTCAAGACCCTTCTCCTTGTGCTCCAGACCCCTCACCAGCTCCATTGCCCTTCTCTGGACCTGCTCCAGCCCCTCAAGGTCTTTCTTGGAGTGAGGGGCCCAAAACTGGACCCAGCCCTTGAGGTGGGGCCTCCCCAGTGCCCAGTCCAGGAGGATGGTCACTGCCCCAGTCCTGCTGGCCACACAGGCCAGGGTGCTGTTGGCCACCTTGGCCTCCTGGTCACACAAAACACCTTGTGTTGTATCCAGGTGGCCAAGGAGGAGGACTTCTTCACTGGCAGGGCATCCCACTGAGTAACTGGGGGTAAAAATGGCACAGTCTGTCCAGCTGGAGAAGGCCCAAACAGTCACAGTAAGATCTAGGGAAGGAACTGTGTGCATCAAATAGGATGTGTAGGGGGTAAGTACTGAGAAAGGAGAAGAAAAGAGGACTGTAGGAAAGGTGGAGGGGGTAGGGTAGGACAGGCCAGCAAGGTTACTGCAGTCTGCTCTGCCACCTTATAGCCCATCTTTGCTGCCCACCAGCATCTCCAGCCTCTCCAACCAAGAGCATGCCAGAGGCAGGTGAAGGTAGCCCTCCCCTGGGCCTGAGGGCCATTGGGGCATCACCCCCGTAACACCACCAGCCACATGGCTACCAAAGACCCAGCTGGTTTCCAGGCCATGACTCTGTTTTCCACGGAGCAGACCAGGAGGCCCTGCACGAGCACCTCAACGGCACAGAGCGCCTGGTCCCCTCCTGAACACCCATCAACACCCCCTCCGAAATACCCATCAACACATCTACAGCTGCAAATCAGACACGGCCCCCCATGGGGCTGGGGGACACCAGGGAAAATCCCCAGGGAAGATCACTTTGCATAGCACCTTCCCCACAGACACCCGGTGCCCCAGCAAGGCCACTAAAATGAAGCCTTCCATGCGAAAAAAACATCTAACTCAATAGAAGGGCACAATTCCTAGTCAGAAACTCTGTATCGTTCCATAAAATACTTTTGTAAAGGTGAACTGATCATTTTAATCTCCCTTCTGCTTCTGGTACAAGGATTGCAACTTATTCTGAACCAAAAAAATGGCTTAACCCCAGAACTATTTCCCTCTAGCCAGGGCTGACTTTGGACATCTTTGTTAAATCTGAATCCAAACCAGTGGCTTGAAACGGTATTTTCTCTGCACATTTAGCAAGTTTAGGCACACCTGAACTAAAGAAAAAAAAAAAAAAGAAAAACAAAACCTAAAACACAACAACAAACTAAAACTCGATTCATCGTCACAGATCACAACTGCTACGAGTTTTCTTTTTCCAGTGGTGCCCAGTGACAGGACAAGAGGAAATGGACACAAACTTGAATATAAAAAGTTCCACCTAAATATGAGGAGGAACTTCTTTCCTGTGAGGGTGGCAGAGCCCTGGAAGAGGCTGCCCAGGGAGGTGGTGGAATCTCCTTCTCTGGAGACATTCAAACCCCCCCTGGACACGTTCCTGTGGGACCTGCTCTGGGTGGCCCTGCTCTGGCAGGGGGTTGGACTGGGCGATCTCCAGAGGTCCCTTCCAACCCCATATCATTCTGTGGTTCTGTGAGTTCACAGCAAAATACCACGTACAGGATGGGCACCAAGCAGAAACCAACTTCCTCCAGGAAGGGATCTGGAATGAGACTGAAGAACAGTAGTGTTTATTTCCACTTATGCTGTAAACAAACACAAAACATCTATCTAGAAAGCAGCCAACTTGGCATTGTCTCAGGCATTATAAAAAAACCCAATGTATTAATTACAGCACAATTATATTAAGAT